GGGGTTTAGGTTTTAGGTTTCTAGGTTTAGGTTTTGGGGTTTAGGTTTTAGGTTTCTGGGTTTAGGTTTTCGGGTTCGGGTTTTGGGTTTAGGTTTCTGGGTTTAGGTTTTGGGGTTTTAGGGTTTAGGTTTTAGGTTTCTGGGTTTAGGTTTGGTTTAGGGATTTGGGTTTAGGGGACTAATGCTACCAGAAAATGAAAGGCACGCTCAACAGAGTTTGCTGCCTGGTTGCAGGAAGTGCTGCAGGAAGGCGCGGCGAGCCGTGGAGAATATCCAGGACGCGGCCTGGCTCAGGACGAGCGAGCGGGCGCTGGAAGTAGCGATGGCGAGCGTCCAAGACGCGTTTACTGGCCGCGACAGGGAGCGCCGCAGGAGAAGCAGTCAATGCTGCAAGACATGGCCGAAATCTCTCATTGCACACTGGCCACTCCCGAAGCCCGGGAAACCGGACACACACAAACAAGCGATCTTCGTTCCTTACTTATCCTACCAAACCCTACTTTTGGGTAGGTTCTTAATGCAAACCCTAATATGGAGTTTATAGGGACCCTACAAAAAAGCAGGTTTTGGTCGGTTAAGGTAGGGTTGCAGGACCCTTCTGCAACAATCGACGAGGCAGTTCTACGCGCATGCATTGCGCAAGCCAAAGCCTTCCTGCAGAGTCGTCCACAGTTTGCGTACTCTTAGGGGTACTTAGAAATATTTTTTAATTTTTGGTTATTATAATCCCTAAGAAACAGCTAAAAATAAAATTTTTGCTAGGGTTCTAAGTTCAGTATAGTACTCTTAAAGGATAATGGGACTTAGTAATGTGGGTGGTAATAAGGGTAACTATACTTATAACTACTTATAACCCCAATTACGGTACTTATAAGCTTACTTACTAAGTCCCATGATCCTCCAAGTACTGTGCTGGTCGAGCTATCGACGAAGCGAGTGCTCGCGTCGCGCAGCACTGTTGGCGCGAGCGGGCATATTGAAACTGAGTTCTGCAACGGTGTATAAAGGTTAGGGTCTTCCTTGAAGGGTTCTTGTAGAACCCTTATATTGTTGATGGTATGATGATACAAATCCTGCATTGCCCACCATGACCATAATTCCCAAAGTGTAGGGTCACTAAGGTAACCCTATAGGTCCGTTAAAAAGGAGCCCTTAAAGGAAACCTTATAGATCCCTTCAACCCTATAGATGAGTGGGGCATCCTTTTCCTCGGCTCCGCGTGTCCCAGGAAGCATCGCGTAGCCATCGTCAGAGCCCAAGATTTTGACGGGTTAGGGGTTTATGGGGTTTAGGGTTTAGATCCTATAGATCCTATAGGGCTTCTGTAAGGGCTCTAAGGGGTTTAGGGGTTTGGAGTTTAGGGTTTAGGGTTTGGGGCTTATTGGGTTTAGGGCTTATAGGGTTTATAGGATATAGGGTTTCGGTTTTAGGGTTTCGGGTTGAGGGCTGATGGGGCTTATAGGGTTTATAGGGTACTTCGGATTTAGAGTTATGGGTTTAGGGGTTAAGGGGTTTTGGGGTTTGGGGCTTATAGGGTTTACAGGGTATAGGGCGCAGGAGTCAGGGTCAAAGGTTTAGGGTTTAGGGCTTCCTCAGATCCTCCAGCTTCTGTCTTAGTCATAAGTAATGAGGGTTTAGGGTTTCGAAGGGTGCCTTAGAGGCTGTTTATAAGGGTTCCTATGAGGGTTGAGGGTATATAACAGTGTTTTGGGTTTGACTTCTGTTTTAGCAATGAGGGCCTATGGTTCAGGATGTAGACTCCCTAAGAACAGACGTGGGACTGTATAATAACCCCGTGCTGTGAAGTTTAGTCTTGACATGTCCGTGTTCGGTTTTGATGGTTTTCCGTGGTAAAACGATAAGAAGAAAATCAAACGATATCAACACTGAGGGATAAGGATTTTTAAAAGGGGTTATTACACAACCCCACATCTGTAGGGCTTAGGTTTGAGAGTTTGCTGTGAGGGCTTCTTTACGGGCTACTACGCGGGCTACTTTAAGGGTACTATAAGGGTTACCACAATAAGTTTGATTTTTTTTGGCAACCCTACCGAAATCTTGGGAGAATCCGTCTCCTGACCCCACCCCGAAAAGCAATGCAGGCCGAAAGGCTCATGCCCAGGTTCAAGGGTTTAGTGCCGGAGCACCCAAAGATCCGAATCCCAAAACCCAGGGCCCCAATCTCAAAACCCAGGGCCCCATGCCCAACACAGGTGCGTCAGGAAGGCTCCAACGGAGATCGGGAGATGGCCGCCGCTGGGCGGAGAGCTTCAGGGGAAGTTTGGGATGTGTCCGCGTCTGTTTGTCGATGTGCGTCTGTGTGCCCGGCTGTGTTTGAGTGTGTGTGGGTGGGGGTTTTCATGTCGAGGAACATGAGGTAGGGCCTGTCTTGAGACTTGCTTTTCAAGAGTTTGCCAATGCAAACAGCGAGTTTTGCTCTTAGGAACAAGCACCACGGATACTTCCAGAAAAGCACGTATTCTTTCAATGACTGAACCCGAAGGCATGCCACCCATAGTCTTACTTACTGACACCCGCAAACCTTCAAGTGGACCGCGATGGTCGTAGTGGCGGTGGTGGTTGCTCTGCTGCTGCTGCTGCTGCTGCCGCTGGTGTTGGTGCTGGAGCTGGTGCTGGTACCCTGAGCCCCAAACCCCGATGAATGCGGTCTGTCTAGTAACCCTTCTAGCGAACCCCCTCCTTGATCGAACCCTTACAGTAGCCCTTGAAAGCATTAAAGGAGCCTTGGAAAATCCTGAAAACCAAACCCTAAACCCTTTTTGGAGCCAAACCCTAAACCCTGAACTCCAAGCTCCTTACCGGGTACTATAGGCTTTAGGGTGCTCTAATTATAATAAGGTTCCCTTTGAAGGGTTCTATAGGGTTCTATACTAGGCTTAGGCTTCCTCTTTAAAGTAGACCGAATCGGAGCCCTTCAAGGGTTCCTTTTAACGCATCCTTTTTTGAGATCCTTTTACGGGTTCCTTTGAAAAGGAGCTCGAAACGGAGCCCTTATGAAACCCGAATGCCGAAGCCCCAAACCCTAAACCCTAAACAGCAAGACCTAAACCCTAAACCCTAAACCCTAAACCCCAAACCCCAAACCCTAAACCCTAGACCCCAAACCCTAAACCCTAAACCGCAAACCCTAAACCCTAAATCCTTTAAAGGGAGCCCTTAGGAAGCCCGAAAGCCGAAGCCCCGAGAGCGGCTTCCAACCCCCGAGGCCGCCTTCCACATGGCCGGTTTCGAGGTCATCCCGTGGGTTCCTTTAAGGGATTTTAGGGTTTAGGGTTTAGGGTTTAGATGGTTTAGAGTTTAGAGTTTATTAAGGGTTTGGGTGCCAAAAACGTTTTGACCGAAAGCTTTGACCGACAGTTTTGACCAGGTTTTCTGACTGAGAGGTGGGGGATGGGGGTGGCAGGGGCCCTTCGCCCTTCCCCGCAGGCTGTGGGACCCGTGCTGCTCGATTTTCGGCGCCACCTCCCTGACTTGAGCCTTCTGCGCCTCTTTGCATTGTTCGCGGCCTCTGACTTCCAGTGCCTCCCCGTGTCCTCCTCCTCCTCCTCCACGATGTCTTTCCTCCTTGCTGGCACATCTTGCCAAGGCCGCAGCTCTACGCGGCAGGTCGACTCCTTCCTTCCTATATGTGTATGAATATACACACATACACATATATATATATATATATATATATATATGTATGTATATGTATATATATACACACATATGTATATGCACACCTACTTGGAAGTCCCGGCGGTTGAGAAATTAACCGAACTTGAAGGGGGAAATGTGATATAGTCTAACCGTAACAGCGGAGAGTTTGAAGGGTAAGATGAACTTTCTGACCGAAAGGCAGAAACTTTGATGGGTCAGCGAGTATTGTCTAACCGGAAAAGCGGAATTGTCAGTGGGTAAGGGCCCGCATTGCGTGTAAGTCTGGATACACATAATAATTTGAGTCCGGCCTTCCTTGGTCCGTAGTTTCAACTGTATGTTGCACCTGAGCTGGCAGGACTCTCTTACTTTGTGTTGGCACAGGTCAAGCTGCGAGTCCTGTTGGAGCCGAATGCCCAAAAGCGGCAGGGGATTCGAGAGGAGGTGGAGGACGAGATCTTTCTGCATGTGTTGAAAAGGCGTGTCCGCTGATTGCACGCTGCTGCTTCTGTTCCGTAGCATAAAGAGCTTGTGTACGGAATTGTTATGCATGAAGTGTTCACGACGCGGGACTTGCTCGAGGAAGCCAGGGAGTTCCGTCCAGAGTGAAGCGGCTTCCTTACAGGAACGTCAGGATGCAACCATCTCGGAACGAGGTGCGTGGCAGCTTATGCGATTGTGTGTGCGTGTATATATATATATATATATGTGTGTGTGTGTGTGTGCATGTGTGTGTGCGTGTGTGTCTCTGTGTGTGTGTGTGTGTGTGGTGTGTGCGTGCGCGTGTGAGTGTGTGAGTGTGTGTGTGTGTGTGTGTGAGTGTGTGTGTGTGTGTGTGTGTGTGTCTTTGTCTGTGCTTGTGTGCGGTGTGAAACAAAGTATGCGAAAGGTGCCGACGGATGTGCAGCGCGCGGCGCGAGGTTCGCGCTGGCGAGCGGGCTGTCCAGCCTGTGTTGCACGCGCGATAAGATCCGCCGTGGGAAGTTACTTCCACATGTGGGAAGCCTAGTATGCGCGTTTGCTCATAGTTCAGGAAGTCTGTCAAAAGTAAGCTGTCTGCTGTCACAAGGCCCGGCAGAGCACATGATCGAAGGTTGGATGTTTGTATGCTGTAGCATGTAGCCCCACTTTGCGATTCCAGTATGCTCTGTTGGACTCTGCAGGCGCCGGGTGTGCTCCGTGGTGTTTGAAGCCTCGAGCTTCATTAAGCAGTCATCAACCATCAAGGCTAACCTCAAGAAGAACCGCCCGAGAAAGCTGTCACGAAGTCAAGACGCACATCCCTGAGGATACGTTTCCTTGTTTTACTGCTGGCAGTTGTTGCAAGAGCGGTTTCCTTCATGCGGGTGTTGCTTAGAGCGCCGCTCACATTCTGAAGTCGCCGCTGTCGTGACCACGGTCGGACAAGAGATGTTGCACTCTCCTCTACCTGAGTCTTTGCCACAAGTTATACCTAAATATTTACCTGCGTTTCTACCTGAATTTGTACCTGAATTTCCCGTTTTAACTCGTCCCCGGAAGGTCCCTGACAGGAGGCTTGCCTTAAAGGACTCGTACTGAGAATGGTAATATGAGTGCGTTCGACGGTCGGCAACGTTCCTCGTTGGAAATCTTCTTTGCTGGACTGTGTACAGTACAAACGTTCTTGTTGCTGCACCTTCAGTAGAAGGGGAGGCGAGGAGGGCGAGAAAAACGAACTCGGGATACCGTCCAATGTTCCAATGCAGGAGTATTGAAGACCCCGGGCCCCAAACCAAGAAACACACACACACACACAAGACTCACAAGACAAGACAATGAGCAACACGCAAACACAACACCAGGCCCGCGCGGAATGGTTTAGGCAGACTGCTTCCGCCTGCTACGGCGAGTTTGACAGGACGTTGCCACGGAGTGGGCGACTGGTGGGACTATCATTGGGTGCTTCGCGCTCAACGACGTGCCCGTTGGAGCCGCGATTGTTTTCGGTGCCGAAATCCGCATGTTCGGCATCGACCCAGCAGGGAAAGGAACGGGCTTTGGCAAAGTCCTAGCCCAGCACGTCGAGACGACGATATGGCGAGACCATGCAGAAGCATGGTTGGCCCCTCGGTGGACTTATAAGGACAGACTCGAGCCTGCAAGGCAGAATTGGACTTGTTGACGATGGTCACAGAGGGGGGAGATATGGAGCGAGATAGAGAAAATGTGTGGGAAACAGAGAGTGAGAGATAGGTCGAGAGAGATATAGTTGCGTTTCTGTGTCCGCGTTCATGTCGATGGCGTCGCCTGCTTCGATTCAAAGATGCAATGACGTGTGGTGCGTTTCAGTGTTCGTGTTCTTTACGGTGGCGGCTTTGTTTTTAATCAAAACACAACTGCACTACAATGCTGAGGTACCCCGAGATGGTCAGGCCAGAATTTTCTGGTTCACCATGGGGTACCTGGGCGAGGCGGGCGGCACGGTCGCGTCCGTGATGCGGAAATCCGCTGCTCGGGCCGCTCAAGTCTTGACGGGTACGAACTCTGGCATGCAGCCCTGCACCCTTTTCGGTGGCCCTGCTTCTTCCACTATAAGTATCTTCAGCCAAGGCATCCTCCACGACCGTCCCTCGGCCACCTCACCGCACTCCCACCCTCGGTTGGGGAGTGTTTCTGGGAGCTGACTCTGGGAGCTCGGACGGACTCGCACGTTGGGTGGCTTTTGGCCTCGACAAATGGAAATAATAACGAGAAAAAGCACACGTACTGGTTAGTACTGTGAGTAGTAGTCGTAGTCGTAGTCGTAGTCGTAGTCGTAGTCGTAGTCGTAGTCGTAGTCGTAGTCGTAGTCGTAGTCGTAGTCGTAGTCGTAGTAGTAGTAGTAGTAGTAGTAGTAGTAGTAGTAGTAGTAGTAGTAGTAGTAGTAGTAGTAGTAGTAGTAGTAGTAGTAGTAGTAGTAGTAGTAGTAGTAGTAGTAGTAGTAGTAGTAGTAGTAGTAGTAGTAGTAGTAGTAGTAGTATAGTAGTAGTAGTAGTATAGTAGTAGTAGTAGTAGTAGTAGTAGTAGTAGTAGTAGTAGTAGTAGTAGTAGTAGTGTAGTAGTAGTAGTAGTAGTAGTAGTAGTAGTAGTAGTAGTAGTCGTAGTAGTAGTCGTAGTCGTAGTAGTAGTAGTAGTAGTAGTACTAGTAGTAGTAGTAGTAGTAGTAGTAGTACTAGTAGTAGTGGTGGTAGTGGTGGTAGTGGTGGTAGTGGTGGTAGTAGTACTAATAGTAGTAGTGTAGTAGTAGTAGCAGTGGAAGTCTGCATTTCAGATTCGGAGTGGAAATTCTAGTTTCGTTTTGGAGCTGTTGGTGTCGCTTTTGAAGTCTGCGAGGGAGCTCTAAGGTTTGCCTTTTAAATGCGACACTGAAGTTTTACTTGCATTTTGGAGCCCTTGGTTTCGTAATGAAAATCGCGCGCGGAAGTTCAATGTCCGTTTTTCCTTCTCGGGGGTTTAGGGTTTAGGGTTTGGAGTTTAAGTTTAGGGTTTAGGGTTTTTAGGTTTACGGTATAGGGTTGGGGGTTTAGGATTTGGGTTGAGGGATCTTTCGAGGGAATGAGGGATCTTCTAAAGATTCCGAAAAACGTTAAAGGCTCCCACAAAGGATCATTTGAAGGGTTCCAATAAGGGATCCTTGAACGGATTCTTTAAAGGGATCCTGTAAACCTTCCGTTAGGGCTCTTTCGGTTCGGGCTTGTATACGGGGTCTGGATGAGGATTTGGGATTTTGCAGTTGGGGCTTAGGGTTTAGGGTTGGGGAACGAGGACAGCCAGGTCTTTCCTTTACGCAATGCTGGTCGGAAATGCACTTAGCAGTTTGGATCCAGACATCCAGCGGGTGCTCGCCGCCGGAGCGGCAGCAGACCTTGGGGCAACATTGGGGTTTAGGGTTTAGGGTTTGGCGCACCCAAGCCGTGAACCGCATCGATATGCCCAGCGCCAGCTCGAAAGGAAACGCGAAAAAGGTCTTCACGAAACTTCGCATCCTCTGCGTGAGCGCACGGAGGATAGTCTACCTGGATGCCGACGTTCTTCCAATCCAGTTGAAGAACTTGTTCGACATCCCCGCGTTCCATGGGGGGTTACGGCGCGCTTGCTTTTCTCTTGGTGTTGTGTGTGTGTGTTGGGGGGAGGTAGGGGCGGGGGGTCTTTGGACTTCGGGGATTTAGGAGGTAGGCCCAGAAGTTTCGGGCTTTGTTTGTTTGGTCGTGTAGGGCGAAGTTCCCTACCCTAAACCCAAAGCCTAAACCCTAACGACAGGGATGAGGGCAACGTCTGAGGGTTTTTTTGTGGCTGGTGTAAAACCTGGCCGTACCATCACCTGGTGATATGTGCCTTGCTGATCCTTAACCATGGGGCAGACGCAAAAAGGAGTTCAGAAAAAGACCCTAATGTAGGAACCTGATTAAGAAACCCTGGGCCTATAGCACAAAAATAGTAGGATTCATACAAGGAATAATAAAGGCCCTAGGTTACATGATCTAAGTGTCTCAGGATTTTGAGTTCAGGCTTCAGGGTTCAGGAGCTCAAAGGCCCACACGCCAGGGCTTAGGGTTTTTGGGCTTTGGGGATCTGGCAAAAGGGGTTCGTGGAACAACTTATAGGGTCCGTCGTGGTGCTTGCCCTTGCGGTTACCATTCTCGTATCTTTTGGGATCGTAGGCTTCGCAAGGGTGCAGTTCCACCGCCTTTAGGGCTGTTGCTTGGGTTTAGGGATTAGCGTTTCAGGGTTTTGTTTTTTGCTTAGGGGTTTCAGAGTTGTCTGGCTTAGTTCAGGATTTAGGGTTTGGAAGTCCTAGATGGTGAAGCCCTCAACTCTGTAATTTAAGCGTTCACCATATGGATCTACCAGCGTCTCAGAACGGAGCAGAACAAAAGCGTCGAAAAGCCTGCAGAACCTGGAATTATAGAAGCTTTTTACAGAACACCTTTGGAACCCTCAGAGCCTGAATACGGGCCTCGTCAAACAAACTTCTGAACTTAAGGTCTACACCCGAGGCCCGGCTCCGAAACCAAAAGCACCGACTGAAGGGTTTTTACACCCGGATCCCTAGTTCCTAAATCCCAAACCCCAAACCCCTAAACCCTGAACCCCCCAAACCCTAAACCACCTATCCCCGAAACCCCAAGCACCAGAGCACACGACAGAGGCCTGGGATGTCCACATGTCAGACCTTCTCGAGGGCCGCACCTCACTGGAGGCTCCTTAACGGGCTCCTTGCGGGGTTCCTTTACCTAGTAGTATGGTAGGTAACCTTTAACTTTTTTTGGGTAGTATAGACCCTACCATAACCTACCAAACCCTACTTTTTTGTAGGTTCTTGTTATAAACCCTAATATGGAGTTTATAGGGACCCTACAAAAAAGTAGGTTCTGGTAGGTTAAGGTATATAATCCCTATACAACCAAAAAGGTTAACCTTTAGTTCCTCATGATACCCGACAAGTCTTTAAGGCTGGCATGAAAGGTTCTTTGAAGGACTCCTTTTAAGGGGCTCCCTTAATTTTAAAGGGTTCCCCTGAAGGGCTCTTTAGAACTTTAGACGGTTCTATCAGTTCATGGGGTTTCTATACGGGCGCCTGCAAGGGTTTATATAGGGTTTGGGGTTTGGGGATTAGGGTTTAGGGTTTGGGGATTAGGGTTTAGGGTATGGGGATTAGGGTTTAGGGTTTGGGGATTAGGGTTTAGGGTTGGGGTATAGGGTTTAGGGTTTAGGGTTTGGGGATTAGGGTTTCGTCTAGGTTTAGGGTTTCGCGGTGTGGGGGGTGTGGGGTTGGCCACTTGGAGCTGCGACCGGTTTGCGGGCTCAGGGTCCAGGTTTCAGTGGGCTTCGCTCTTTTTTGGCTGCAGTGTGCGATGATGTTGAGAGTATGTAATGGTTACTGCAAAGCTCCATGGTATGTGTACGGTTACGTTTGTTGACTCTCGCTTTGGCCGGAAGTTTTGAGTTTTGTCGGGCTGGCCTCTGTTCATGATGCTGTGATGCAGTATAGTCGCCACTTTGGCTAGTATTCTAGGTTCCTGACTAGTATCCTTTTGCCCTTTTTCTTTCCGGGTTCCTTTACTAAAACTGAATAGTAGGAGAAAGGGTACCCTTATTATTAAGGGGTTACTCAGGAACTTCGTATTTTGCTCTCTCCAAGTTTGGGTTTAGTTTCATGGCGCTCGGTACAAAGACCGGCCCAAGGTTCTGCAACCCCAAACAGCCTTGTCCTTTTTCATGGTTCCCCCAAAAGAATAAACAGACCGGCTAGTAGACCTTCTTAAATCACTCCTACTAAGGGATATAGGTATAGGGCTCTGTCTACTATTTCTAAAAGGACAAGGATTCCGAAAATTAGGGTACCTTATTTCGGGGTCCTTACAAAAAGGATCCTACTATTTAGGGTACTATATTAGGGTCCCCTATTTTCGGAAACTCCCAGCTCATTGGTGCTTAGCAGGGAATGGGGGAATGGATCCCTATATCAGTCCCTATATACTCCCCAATAATAATAGTCTCCATCATCTATTCCCCCGTTCCCCTACTAAGCACCAGATAGCCCTAAACCCTAAACCCCTAAACCCTAAACCCTAAACGCTAAACCCACCTTCATCTTGCAACCCTCCTCCAGAGTTTCTTCAGTCCCAAACCACAAGCTCCTTCATCCTCAGCCCGAAGGTCTGTAACTAGGCAGGCCTTTGGTATTTCTTATATTTCCCCCCTTATTGGGCTTAGTAGGACCCTACTTACGAGTATTTTCAGAAGCTTTAAAGGGCCAACCTGGGTAATCCGATTGAAACCTTACCTTCTGCCGTAGGGTTTGAACTCATTCGTGGTCGTGCCCCTTTAGGGTTTAGGGTTTAGGGTTTGTTCTTGTTGAATGTATAGTATAAGACACGCCACAAGCCTATTCTAATTCTGAGGGTCCCGATACTAAACCCTGACAGAGTCCTTATAGTATACAATAGAGCCATTATGGTAGCCTCTGCAGAACCCTTGGAGGAACCTATTCATCTGATCGTTAATGCCCCCAATCTTCATCCCATACCACCGAGATGCTTGAACCCTCAAACTCTAGTCGGTCTGACTGACCCCAAAACTGTCTAGGGTTTAAGGGTTCAGGGTCCCAGATTCCTAAACCTAACCCCGGAGCCCTATTCCCTGAAAGCCTGACCAGTCATTCCGTGGGGCGGCATTCGTGGGTGGCTTCAGCTACGCCGACACGCTCGACTCAGCCAAGGGGTGTGGGACCTGGAGCAACAGGAGTTTACACTTCGGGGTTGCTTTGCGGGCTACTATAAAGGACAATACTAGAAATAATGAGGGTATGCATAAGGATGACCTTAACAGGGTTTGGAGTTTGAGGTTTTGGGTTTTAGTGTTTCAGAATCTGTCGCGCCTTGGTAGCACTTGCCCTCACAGCCATCGGAGAGCTGGAGTTTCGAGTATCAAAGTGTCCCATTCCAGTTGTCCGGATCTGATCACCGCCGTTGACCCAGAGACTCCAATATCCCTTAATTAAGGAATATACCTTAAATCATAGCAGGGATCCTATTATAATTTAAGGTCTACTTCTTAATTAAGGGATATTGGAGTCTCTGGGGATTTTGAATTATAGATCGGTTTGGCCACCTGTGGTTAGGAACAGGGATTTGGCCATGTCTGCGGTTCTTGGTTAAGACATGATAAAGCAAGCCTTCTAACCTGGAGCTCTTGACCCGCCAGCTTACCGCCCCACACTCCGAGCCGTTACCACACCCCCAACCCTGCAAAACCTTCAACGTCCTAATAACCTGCAAGAGCCCTCGCAGAATTCTGGTAAGAATCATAACCCCCCATGTAAAGCAGTCACACTCGAACCCGGCAGACTCTCTCTTATACATATGTAAATATGCATATTATACATATTATACATATGTTATACAGTATTACATACATATATGCATGTGTATATAGAAACTTTATACATATATATATATATATATATACATATTTATTTGTTTATTTATTTATTTATTTATTTACACACACTAAACTCACATACACACACCCTGGAATGGAAAGCTGAAAGTTGACATCCGCGATATCAAAAGAACGACAGCACACCAGGAAAAAACAACAACACCAAACCGCAACACCCCTCTAAACCCGTAAGCCCCTAAAGCCCTAAATCAATTCCTGGAGCACGAAAACCGCGAACTCGAAACCCTAAATTCCACCCCCCCCCAAACAACACCTAAACCCCTAAAGCCCAAAACCCCTAACCCCTAAACCACTCTGAATCACCCTGAAACCTACACTACTTACCCGCTATACCTAAACCCCTGACCTAAACCTCTGAAGCCTAAGTCCCTAAAGCCCCAAACCAACAAACCCCTAAGCCCCTGTACCCAAAAAGACCCTCCCTCTCCCCGAATGGTTTAAAACAAAAACACCCTAAACCCCTGAAGCCTTAAACCTCCGAACCTCTACAAACCCTGACCTCCAGACCCCTAAACCCCTAACAGACCCAAATTTCTCAGGAGACTGATGGGCCTTAAAGTCTAAACCCTAAACGCCTAAACCTCTGGACCCCTGAACCCCTGAACCCCTAAACCCCTAAACCCCGAAACCCTAAACCTGTCAACCCTATAAACCCTAAGCCCTAATTCCCTAAACCCCTAACACCTAAACCCTAAACCTGCCAACCCTACAAACCCCAAACCCCTCTGCCCTTAGACTCTTAAACCCCTAAACCCCTTAAAGTACCCTTATATATAGATCCCTTATAGTAATCCTTAAAGGAACCCCTGTAGGAACCCCTTAAAAAACTCAATCCCTTGAACTCCTCCTCCTTCAGGTACCCCTAAACCTCTACTGTAGATTCTTAAACCCCGAAACCCCTCATAGTACCCTTTTTGAAGTCCTTAGAGGAACCCTTGAAATCCTCCTGCTTCAGATGGGCCTAAAAGCCAAAACCCGAAACCCTAGACCCCTAAACCCCTAAACCCTCAACCCTAAAGCCTAAACCCCTTATAACCCTTATGGTAGTCCTTACTTGGAGGTTCATGGGTAGTTATAATTGGAGTTATAAGTCCCCTAATATGGGTTATAAATATAGTTACCCTACTTATAACCCCACTTACAACTACCCATGAACCTCCAAGTAAGCCCTAAACCCTATACCCTTATAGAATCCCTGTAGATCCCTTAAAAGGGACCCTTAAAGGAGATATAAGCTATATTCCTTAATTAAGGGGTATTGGGCTCTCTGGGTCCTTAAAGGAACCCCTGAAGTCCTCCTTCTTGAAGGAACCCCTTATAACCCTTATGGTCGTCCTTGAAGGAACCCCTGAAATCCTCCTCCTTCAGGTGGGCCTAAAAGTCTAAACCCTAAACCCCTAAACCCCTTATGGTACCCTTACAGTAGTCCTTATAGATTAATCCCTGAAATCCTCCTCTTTCTTACAAGGAACCCTTATAACCCCATAGCCCTGAACCCTATAGAATCCCTATAGATCCCTTTAAAGGGACCCTTAAAGGAGCCCTCCAAGTAAAGGAACCCCTGAAATCCTCCTCCTTCACGTTACCCCCTAAACCCTAAACCCTAAACCCTAAACCCCTAAACCCTAAACCCTAAACCCTAAACCCCTAAACCCCTAAACCCCTAAACCCTAAACCCCTAAACCCTAAACCCCTAAACCCCTAAACCCTAAACCCTAAACCTCCTCCGTCAGGTGGGCCGGATCGGTGCTTTTCAGCCCGAAGCTCGAGGCTCAGTTCAAGGCCTTCCGCGACAGGCCTGGGGACGGGTCCTTTTTGGGGCTTTAGGGCTCGTTCTTAAAGGGGTCCATGAGGGCTCTATAAGGGTAGTACAGAGTTCTATATATGAGGGGTACTACAGGTCCTTTTGGGGGCTTTAGGCTTCGTTCTTAAAGGGATCCATAAGGGCTTTATAAGGGTAGTACAGAGTTCTATATATGAGGGGTACTACAGGGTCTTTTTGGGGCTTTAGGCTTCGTTCTTAAAGGGATCTATAAGGGTTTCTATAAGGGTTCTATAAGGGGTTCTGTAGGGGGATCTATAAGGGGGTTTATAGAGTTTAGGGTTCAGGGTCTTTTTGGTTTTAGGGTTCCTTCTTAAAGGGATCCAAAAAAGCTCTATAAGGGTAGTAGAGAGTGCTCTTATAGGGTCCCCTTTGAGGGGTACTACAGGGTCTTTTGGGTTTAGGGTTCGGCTTTCTAGAAGGGTTCTATAAGGGGTTCTGTAAGGGGATCTATACGGTGGTTTTTAGGGTTTTGTTTGGGTTTTGGGCCTTTTGGGTTTCGGGTCTGTTTTAAAGGCATCCATAAGGGCTATAGAAGGGCGGGGATCTATACTAATACGATAATACGGTCCAATTTAAGGGATACTTCAGGGCCTTTAGGGTTTAGGGTTTCGGGTTTAAGGGTTTCTATAAGGGTTAGGTTTAGGGTTCCTTCTTAAAGGGCTCTATAAGAGGATCTTTCAGGGGGTTTATAGGGTCTTTTGTGTTCAGGGTTCTTTTTTAAATGGGTCTATAAGGGTTTCTATAAGGGTTCTTTAAGGGGATCTATTAGGGGGTTTATAGAATTTAGGGTTCAGGGTCTTTCGGGTTCAGGGTTCCCCCCAAACCGTAGAGCCTTCACACCCCAAAGCCTTCGAAGCAAACGTCTGAGAATTTTGAGGACATCGTGCTGGGGACAAAAATCCCCTAAACCCTGACCCTTAAACCTCGAAGCCCTCAACCTGACTTCTGCAATCTGCAGTTCCGAGCTTTGCCGCAATCTTGCTTGCCACGTATTGGGCGGTGCGACTGTATTCTGCTCGCCTGGGGGGCTGCACGTGATCACAAATGCAGCCTCTCAGGCATGCGTTGCTGAAAGGCTGCTTTACTACGGTCGCTTGGTATGGGAGTTTCCGAAAATAGGGGACCCTTATATAGTACCCTAAATAGTAGGATCCTCATGATGAGGACTCCAAACTAAGGTACCCCCAGTTTTCGGAAACTCTAAACCTTTCTAGAGCCCCTTAAAGGAAGCCTTACAGTACCCTTATAGTAGCCCTCTAAAGGAACCCTAAGGTGCCCCCGTCAGTTTCGGAAGCTCCCAAATCTAAAGGTAACAGAATTGGACCCCGACAGACTCTGCGAAAAGGATGTTCTGGCCGACGGGGACCCAGGGACTCCAAAATCCCCTTGATTAAGGAATACTGTAGACCTTAAAATATAGTAGGATCCCGAATATGATTTAAGGTATATTCCTTAATCAGGGGATATTGGAGTCTTTGAGAGCCGTTTGTTCCGGGCAATCGCCGACCAACTGTGCACTCGGCCCCCCCCGTGTCGGACCAGCATGCGCTGCTCAACAATCCCTTCTTCATAATGTCTTCCCTGCCTGGATCCTGGACAGCATGCACGCCTGTATAAGTGTAGTACAGTACAACATAGCATTTTTTTTTCTATTCCTTAAGGCCCCACATTTATCCTTTAGGGCTACGCCCTAAAACCCTGCACACATGCCGCATGAAGTCGCAGCCAAAACATGCTGGGGTGTGTAGGATGGCACATTGCTAAGGGGATCTCGAGGTCATCAAAGGACCAGAGGAGATTTAGGGTTTAGGGTTTAGGGGTTTAGGGTTTAGGGTTTAGGGGTTTAGGGTTTAGGGTTTAGGGTTTAGGGGTTTAGGGTTTAGGGTTTAGGGGTTTAGGGTTTAGGGGTTTAGGGTTTAGGGTTTAGGGGTTTAGGGTTTAGGGTTTAGGGGTTTAGGGTTTAGGGGAGTTTTGGGTTTAGAATTTGACGCAAGATAGCAGAATTGACGCGAAATGGTTCGGGTTTCGGTCCTTTGTCAGGAATCCCGATGCAGGTGTATAATATGTCATCTCCCAAGCCTCTCTACAACATCCTGTAAAGGTGCTGCAGAGCTCCTCAACCATCGCCATCTGACACTATAATTCCGTCTGTTAGCGAGTTTTGTGCAATTGTTCATGACTCTCACATACCTGATATGCATGTATGCTTACATATTTCACGTACACATACATGTACATAGTGACATAGTGGCGGACGGCTGATCCTGATATCACGGCATACAACCCCAAAAACTAAAGCCGCTATAACCCTCACCCCTAAACCCCTGAACGCCAAAACCACTATAAAACCCCATAAACACCCTAACGCCATACCCCCACCCAAACCCTAAAGCCCTAGACTCTAAAAACCCTAAACCCTGAACCCTAAACCCTAAACCCTAAAAAAACCGAGCAAGACCCGCAAGCAGGGCAGATTCCTTCGCCCTGGGCATCTGCAACGGCCTGGGCCTCCCTGGAGCGGGTGGTCTTCGAGAATAATGTGCAAGGGTAAAAGGAGGGACCCCTAATAAGGACCCCTAGGTATATACCCTTAATATAGCTATTATATACCCATTATATAGCCAAATAGAGGGTAAGGATCCCCATTAAGGGTCCCTCCTTTTGCCCCTTTGATAATACGCAAACCTGTACTATATAGTCTCCTTAGGAGTGATTCTTTTTAAAGTTTTTGTTCATATAACACCCAAGAGAAGATTAAATGCATTTTTTTATTATGGTTCCAAGGGGGGGGGGGGTATAGTATACATTTAAAAGTTGCCTAATAAACACCAAAACCCGATTAAGCATATTAAGGCACCCCCCCCCCCCCATATTATAAGGGTTTCGCGAAGCGTAGGGTTGCTAAATTTAGGGCGTCTATACTGGTTACTATAAGGATGATTGTAGCTAAAGGGTTACTCTCGGGGTTGCTGCCAGGGTTGCTGATGATGGGTCTGCATTCGGGAGTGTCTGAAATCAAGAAACTTAGCACTAAGCAACCCTAAAATCTAAGCTCTAACTCCCAGGCCCTTAACCTCAAACCCCCATTTGCAAACTCCGAGGCTGAAATGGTGAATCCCAGAGCGCCTAATGCCCCGGCGCTATACACTTCACCACTGCTGTCCACGTGTTTGCGATCATACGCATTCGACTGCAATTCAGGTTCGAATCTGCAGGCAACCTCGTGAGATCTGTAACGGTCGTGTATGGCATCGCTGGGACTGTCGCTGGGCGCCTGAAAAGGCGCAAAGGCAACTTTCAGTACTGGCCCTGGCAATTATGAAATCACCAACGTCTTGTTGATTGTCCTGTCTGGTGAAGCTGAGGGGGAGCCAGGGAAGCAGAAGCTTGCCTCTGAACGGGCCCGAAGGCTTCGGCGGGCAGCAGAGCTGAACTGGTTATCTGTTCCGGACAGTCTCAAGAGCTTTGCTGCCCCTGCAGCTAAGCACAGGCGACGAACACTGCATGGTTCGTTGTTGAAGGACGCTCAATCGCAAGCCGCAAACCCTAAACCGCGACAAATAGACAACTAATGCGCGAAGCCCCAATCCACAAAATCTGCCTCAACTCCCAAACCCAAAATCCTTGTGAGAAACCTTTACAGCAACCTTCATAGCAATGCTACGCCCCATTCCTTATAGAAACCCTATCACCTGATAGAAGAGCCCTTCAGATGAAGCATGTATGCTGAACGGAAGCCTGGAAGGAACCCGTTGCTCCTAAACCCCTAAACCCTAAAAGCCCTAAACCCCTAAAGCCCTGAAAACCCTAAACCCTCAAACCCTAAAACCCTAAACCCCTTGTAGTAAGTACACTGTGTAGCAGTCGTTATAGTAGTCCTTAAAGGAACCCTTAAAGGAACATTTCAGCCCCTCCGGCCTCCTCCAGGCTGCCAGCTCTTGGCGCTACTCGGTTGGGCGCCAGGCGCACCGGGCGGAGGTGGCCCGGAGCCCGGAGCGAGTACTAAATCGTTCAATGTGTTAGGGTTTAGGGTGTTTGGGGTTTAGGGTTTAGGATTTAAGGTTTAGGGCTTTAGGGTTGAGGGTTTAAGGTTGAGGGCTTTCCGTGGAATAGCGCATAGGTGATAGCATCTTGCGACAAGGCTGTGTCGAGTGCATCGTACCACGGCGACGAGCTGTGAATGTCTGTCTATCGACTACAAGGCTTTCCTCTTTCCGGCCTTTTGCAAGGTTCAGATCTCAAGTTTTCAGGTCGGATGAGTCTGAGATTGATCCAAGCACTTAGTATGCTGAGGTTTTATATCCGGAGCCACGCAAGCCTTCAGTCAGTCCTGACCCGCGAACCGCGCTCCCCCAAACTGTTAGCTCTCAATGCCAACCCAGGAAAGATCACCCCTCGAAAACCCTATTGCTAGAAAGGAAGGTCGTCGGATTTCGCCTGGGTCCCTTGTTGACATCTCCATGTCAGATGCGGTCATGCTGGAGGTAGGATGCTGGTGACGACAACAACAAAGAAGCGATGGCGGAGAAGATAATCGCGATGATGAAGAAGAAGGGGACAGGTAGGATGCCAACACCGGCCCACGCAGCAAGCGCTGAAACCCTGCAGGCCCTGCATACACCATTTACAAGCGCTTAATATATATATATATATATATATATATATATACAGGCCTTAATAATCAGAATAGGGTTTTCGGGTTTACGCGAAGCCTGCAGGTTCGAACCTCCTAAAATCTTTATCCTACGGTTGATGATATAAATCCTGCGTTACTTTAAGGACCCAACTATGGCATATTCCTTATTATGGGTAATGCAGGATTTATATCATCAACCGTACACCTGACGTTTGTCCCCAGAGACTCCAATATCCCTTAATTAAGGGACGTACTTTAAACTCTAGTAGGATCCCTGATGCGATGTAGGGTATATTCCTTAATTTGGGGACAATGGAGCCCCCTAAACCCTAACCCCTATAGATCCCTTATAGATCTCCTAAAGGCCTCTTAAAGGAACCCTAGGCAGATCCCTTAAAAGAGACCCTAAACCCTACACCTAAACCCTAGGCAGATCCCTTAAAAGAGGCCCTAAAGAGTCCCTAGAGCCCTGCCGCACCTGAGTTCTGCCCCTGGAGAAGCAGCCTCGCTTCGTGCACAACAGGACCGTTTAGGGTTTAGGGCTTAGGGTTTAGGGTTTAGGGCTTAGGGTTGAGGGTTTAGGGCTTAGGGTTTAGGGTTTAGGGCTTAGGGTTTAGGGTTTAGGGCTTAGGGTTTAGGGTTTAGGGCTTAGGGTTTAGGGTTTAGGGCTTAGGGTTGAGGGTTTAGGGTACAGGGTTTAGGGTTTAGGGTTATGGGCCATGAACAATTAGAACAAGGACCATGGAAATGTAGGCCATTGAGAATTACATTAAGGTTTAGGGTTTGGGGTTTAGGAACAAGGTTCACTTAAAGGGCTCTTAACATGCTAATATAAGGAAGGATATTATTTGTTTCAGAATATGATTCTTCAACCGGTCCCCTTAAGGGTTTCTTCAAGGGTTCTATAAGGTTTGCAATATGCCTCGATAATTAGCACAGGGTTTGGGGTATTTTGCAGTATGCTTGTTTTAGGAAATAATGGGCTCTTGTAAACTTATAGTCCTCATGTAAGTATGCTGCATAAACATACACCAGAGCCGTATTCAGTCATGGCGGATTGGAGTCGGAGGCTTCAGGAACTGAAGCCTCGGGTTTTCTTGGGTTAAGGGTTTGAGGGGCTTGGGTTCAGCCCTAAACCCAAACCGCTTACATGAAACCCTGTTTTAAGCATAGGGCCCTTCAAGCAGAAGCCCAAACCCTATGTCCACCTTCAACCCGCCGAATTTAAGCACAGGGCCCTTCAAGCAGGAGCCCAAACCCTATATAGCCTAGACTGCCCACCCTAAACCCTCCGAATTTACACCTTATGCTTTAACTAAAAAACCCATATCCTAAGCCCTCAAACTGTACACTGTACTTTGTGACCAAAAACCCGCAGACATCTTACAATCATCGCAAACGACGAGTAGCCCCTACCCCTTCCCCCCCTCCCCTACACCAGAAAAGAACGAAAGAAGCCAAGGATCCACGGACAACATAAACCCTAAACCCTAGACCCTAAACCCTAAACCCCTCAAACCCTAAACCCCTCAAACCCTAAACCCCTCAAGCCCTAAACCTTGAACCCCTAAAACCCTAAACCCTAAACCAAGGAAACAAAGCTGCCCACCAGGAGCGGTCGCTTTGAGTCGCGCTTCGCCACCGTTCGCATCGATTCCTCCGCAGCTTCCAAGGTAGGGCCCCTGTTCACAGACATACATACAGACATTCTAGGGTATAGGGTTTAGGGTTTCTTATATATATACATATATATATACACGCACATATGTATATATATATATATATATATATATATTCACACACACATATACATATATAGGTATACATATGTGAGTAAGTAAGTATGTATGTCATGCATGCACCTTGAGCAAAGGGTTTGGGGTTTAAGGATTAAGGGGCTAAAGGTTCAGGGGCTAGGGTTCAAAGACTTAGGGTTTGGGGAGGACTGTAAGAAAGTATTCTTTGGTCTTTACGTGAATCTCGTAGGTTCTTTAATCAAAAATGGTCTGGAGGTCATCCTGCTGCTGATGTCAGACGGTATAGGCTTTTGAACTTTGGGTGTTCCACCTGCTCTCGTGCCCCAAACCCAAAGCCTAAACCCGTATAGTGATCATTATATATATATGTGTATATGTATATGTATATATATATATATATATGTATATTCTTTTTACCTTTCCTGTAGTAACGCTTATAGTACCCTGAAAGGAGCCAGACTCTAGGGTTGTTGCACGGTATTTGGGCTTCGGACAGTTGGGGTCCACAGGAGGGTTCGAGGTGATGTCAGGAGCGTTGCAGCTTGGTAGCTTCATGTGCTGTTGTGTCCTCTGCGATAGCGGTTTTATGTCACTGCCAGCGAAGTTTCGGGGTTCGGAGGAATTCAGGTCCTGTGTTTGCGGAGGTTTCTGCTGTGGGTTTTCGGGATTAGAGATCTTGCATGTGGAGTTCCAGTTGCAGTTTGTTGACTTTGGCTTTAGGGCTTGAGCAGGGGCCTTTGCCCAACACTCTCAACAAACATCGTGAAAGACTGCAGTAAAGTGCCTGAAGCTTGGCTGAAGAGGCTCTTGAAGCCTATGTCGTACCTCCAAGCCCCTTAAGCTGGATGCCCTACACCCGCGGCCCCGAACCCTCCATCCTCAATTCATCAGCCCAAAAGCGAAGCTTGAGCCCTACGCCACGAGGCCTGCCTACACCCTACACCCTAAATCCTAAACCCTGAATTCCAACCGCCTCAACCTGTTCAGGTGTGGCTGAAGGGCATGGAGGGCACACAGCTCGTCGCTCAGGGGGGTTACCGTCTTCAAAGGTAGTGTTTCCATATACCTGGGTTCCTTTCAGGGTACTATACGGCTTACTACAATAAGGGTATCTATGCAGGTATGTATATATGTATGTGTATGCATATATACATATATATGTATATACAAGGATCTCTCTACGGGTGTAGAGTTTTGGGTTTGGGGGTTTAGGGTTTGGATGTTGGGCGAAGGGTGCAGAGATCATCGGGCTGCAGGGAAAATTGGCTGGTACTTGTACTGGGCCTTGGAGTACCAGATACTTTAATACTTCTTTCCTTAAAGGAGCCCTTATGAATTTAAAAGTTTATACTTTTTTCTCCCTGGTTACTTAAAAGCCCAGCGTAGGAGTTTCGGGTTGTGGTAGAAGTGCCCGAAAGCAACGAAAGCCCTAAGCCCCATTCCTGGTAGTCTGAAAGTTTCTGTGGTTTCGCATGAACCCTATGCCCTAAGCCCTACATCCTAAAGCGTTGCCTATTGTTTTTAACTCTGATGATGGCTTCTCAGAAAGCAGAGGTTTGGGTTTCAAGATCTAGCGCAGAGTTTCGGGCTTGAGGATTCAGAGCTTGGAGCTTAGGGGTGGTTTCGAGATGAAGTTTTTGGACATAGTAACCCTTATAACTTATTCCGATTATTAAGCCCATTCTATTTGATAAAACTTATACCCCTATGCTAAACCAGACCCCCGAAAGGAACCCTTTTAGAACCCAAGAGGGAGCCCGATTCCTATGATCATAGCCCTTCTTTGCTGAACTTTCTCTGCCTCGGGTCCGTTTCCTGAGCGATTCAGGATGGGCGTGTGGGTGAATCACGGCGAGGGTCAGCCACACTCCCAGTCTTGCGGCTTTCGGTTTAGGGCATAGGCATTGGGTTTAGGGGTCCAGGATTTGGATTTCTTAGGTTTAGGGTTTCAGCGTTTATGCTGATTTTTTTGCTTACGGAGTCTTGTTCGGAGTGTCCTTCTGGTTCTTGTTAACAGGATTTGTTTCGAGTTCTGTTCAGGTTAGGGACCCGCAATTCCTAAATCTGAGGCCTCAAATTTTAGCATCCACATCGTAAGGCCTCGTCAAGAAGGTACCCCTATGGTTAAACCCTCTACCAGGTCCCTATGCCGTACCCGACAAAAACCCGAATAGCCAAAAGTGTTTCAGGTTGGTCTTGAGCTGGCGTGGAGTGCTTCTGTCTTCCAGTCTTTGTTTTGTGATGGGGGGATTGCAGTTTCTGTTGGTTGCAGGGTTGATCGTCTACGGTTGTACTCCCATCGTCACCACTTGAGAGTTGACAGTAGAATCTGCTCTCCGGAACCTGCTTTGATCCTTTAGGTCCGTTTGGGTTCACGCGTCTTAGTGGGGGCTGCTTCACGGAGGGGCTCAGGAATTGTGGTGGTCTTGCGTTCGCCGTGCTGTTTTTTCGGGCGCAAACTCCATGCCTACATCTCGAGATTCCGGAACCCCTAAAGTACTATAGGGGCCGACGTAATTACCAATACTATTTTGGGGATAACTTATTGTAATTATAGTAAAAAGGGCATCCAAACCTTCTTCTAATCATTATATTATAGAGCCCTACTATAGATCCCTCATAATACCCCCTTTTAAGGAACCCTTTAAAGGGAGCCCTCTTCTAATTATTGAGGTCTCTACAGTTGACCCTGAGCGTGACGCCGACAACAAGAAAGGCTCCCAACATCCTTTTCAGCGGAGTAGACAGGATTTCAACACACTCACCCCCCGCTTCGTGAGAATCCGTATGAGCCCTGAAAGAGCTCATAACCGCTCATCATCGTGACCCTGGAAGTTCTGTGCTCATCATACGGCTGATGGACAAAATCCTGCATTACCCACTATAAGGAAGATACCATAATTCCCATAGTTTAGAGTCCTTAGGGTCATGCAGGATTCTGTCCATCAGCCGTATGTCCTGTTTGGCTGCGAAATCCAGGGCGCACTTCCCAGACGCCTCGGTGCTCGATAGGGTGAAGAAGCCTGGGCCTCGAGAATGTGTCAAGTACCTTTCTCCAGGGTCTACGGTGTCTCGTATAGTATATAGTTTGGTATATATTAGGGACCCAAAAAGCACATAAGCATAAGCATTTTATGGGGATATCCCTGCCTTATTGGGCTTGATTATAAGGGGATTTATATGGGATATCCCTATCCTAATTTTTGCTTATGTGCTTTTTTTTGGGCCCTAATATAATACAGTATATATCGTAAAGCATATAGTATAGCATCGTACAGTATAGTGTAGTATCGGACAGTTTCGTAGATAGCAAAGTATAGCATATTACAGCAAACTATAGTATAGGACAGCACAGTATAGTGTGCTATAGTATAGTATAGTATAGTATAGTATAGTATTGCGCAGTGTATACTTTAGTACGAGAGTATGGTACATAGTATAGTATACAGGTCTGGCGTCCAGGCCCATCCAGGATCCAAGCTTTTGCAGGCTTTGGTTACGAGGTGATTTCGAGCGTCAAAGACGAAGTTGTGTTGCTGCCACATTGCGGGGCGATCTGCCGGGTCTCATCAAGGTGAGTCGCGGCCTGTAGCTGTCACTGTGCTGTTGATGCTTTCCTCGTCAGCGTCATCGTGGTTCATGCTGTCGGCATTGTCGTTTTGTCATGCAAGATTATGAACCTCTATAAAGCCCGGTACTATAGGGGCCTACATGATTACCTATACTATTTTGGGGGTTGCGTTTACAAATAGTATAAAGGGCCCCAAAACCCTATTCTAATCATTATAGTAAAGAACCCTACTATAGATCCCTTAATACCCCCTTTCAAGGAACCCTTTAAAGGGAGCCCTATTCTAATAATTAAGGCTCCTACATTACACAATCCTCCAAAAAAATCCTAAACCCTACACCCTAAACCCCTAAACCCTAAACCCCTAAACCCTAAACCCCTAAACCCCTAAACCCTAAACCCCTAAACCCTAAACCCCTAAACCCCAAAACCCTCAACCCTTGTCCAGGGAGCAGCTGATCCCAATGCGGTACGTCGACGACGACGGCAAGGAAACCGAAACGCTCGGCTCCTAGCGTTGCCGGTTTAGGTTTTAGGGTTTAGGGTTTTGGGTTTGGGGTTTCGGCTTGGAAGGGATCGAAAGCAGTTCCATGGGGGTTTCTAGAAGGGATTTAGAAGGGCTTGGAAGGGTTTGAAAATAGTTCCGTGAGGGTTTCGAGAAGGGTTTTAGCAGCGTTCCATAATGAGGGTTCGATGATGGGTTTTCAGCCTGATTAAATGTGTCCGTGTTCCCGCCCCCCGCCGGGCCAGCGCCGAAATTCCTGTTTAATCCCCATGGGAGGGAGAAGCAACGCTGGTTTAGGGTTTAGGGGGTTTAGGGTTTAGGCTCTGCTTTTAGACCCCACGTGAAGAGAGTGCAGTTTCGCTCCACAGGGTTGGAAGGAGGAAGGCTTCGGGGGAAGGGGGGCATACTATGTAAGGGATGTTATGAGGAGCGCTAAGAAAGACAAAGTTCCACACTGACACTGTCACGGCTCTAAACGGGTTCGAGACGTTTAGGCAGGAGTTAAGGGGTGAGGAGTGGGGGTTCGGGCTAAAGAGTCTAGGGTCCAGTCTCATTGGTTGAGTTACGGGTTGATGGTGAAGCTTCTAGGATTCTAGGGTTTCGGAAGCCTGCCCGAAAGCCCCTAAACCTAGAAACCTCAGTTTCTGTTTAGAAAACGTACGGCCGACAAAAGGGCCTAAATAGTTACCAATACTATTTTGAGGGTTCCTTCTTATATTTATACTAGAGTGGATTCTAATGATTATTAAGCCCCCTATATTATAGAACCCTACCAAAGATCCCTTCTAGACCCCCTTTAAGGAAGCCTTTGAAGGGAACCCTAAACCCTAAGCCCTCTTCCGAGGTACCCCTTCAACCCCAACGGCTCGCCAGAGGGCATCGTCGGGCTGTGCAGTCGGGGGCCTCGAGCAGACGGGATTCTTCGGGTTTAGGGTTTAGGGTTTAGGGGTTTAGGGTTTAGGGTTTATTGCTTAGAAGCTGCCCCCACCCTGTAATAGTGACTATAAGGATTATATTAGGGCCCTATTATATTCCTATTGTACCACTATGAGAGGGTGGGGGCAGCTTCTAAGGTTTACGTAATTAGGAATGCCGGTTTAAAGTTGAGGGTTTAGAGTTTAGGGTTTGCGGCTTTAAGGTTTAGGATTACGGGTTGAAGATTTAGGGTTTAAGGTTATAAGGTTAAGGATACCCGTTCAGGGTTTAGGGCTTACAATGTAATGTTTTCGGTGGTAGCACATTTGAGCTTTAAGTTTCTGGGGCAGTGTACTCCGCGCTGGCGGCTTTTTTTGGGGCGGCGTTTTTGTGTGCGTCGAAATTTAGACTCCCGTGTTGTTTCCTGACAGTTCTGTCGGCTCTACATCCTAAGCCTCAGACAAATTCTAAACCCGACACCCCGAATCCTACAACCTAAACACGCGTCCTTGTCGCTAAACCGTAAGCTGTAAACCCGAAATCCAAAACCTGAATGGTGGGAGTCTTGGGCTTTGGATTCGGGTTTGGGAATTTGGGTTTGGGGTTTTTGCGTCCTCAACCCTGAGCACCGAAACCTAGAGCCCTGAACCTTAAAACCTGAAAACCCAAACCCTAAAGCGCAGAAGCCGCAACCCCAAACCCCGCTACAGACCTA